CGTGCTCAATCCACTCAGCGTGCTTTGTTAATCAGCTCGCGCTCATCAGCTATACAGGCGTTAATACTGAATGTTTAACATTATATTCATTGCATACATATACTTCGTAGTAGACATCCTTAACTCCTTTCTGCTGTCTGTTGTTCTGTTGTCGGTGTTTCTTTGTTTGAATATGGCGCTTATCACATGCTGTGTGGTATCGGCGTTTGGTATCGGGGCATTTTAACGAGTACGAATAGGAGTACAGGAGACCAGTATCGGTATCGGTGCATCCCTAGTTTTTGCTATAGTTTTTTAAGATTATTTGAACTTTAATTCTTTATTGTTTTGTGATCTGTAGATGAGAAGAGTAGTGAAATAGATTTAGCAGCCAGTGAGGACTGGGATGTCAAAACCATCACCAGTGCTTTAAAACTTTACCTGAGGTAAGTTTAAACTTTCTGCATTCTGTTTCTACTTGCAGATAATAAACAGCATAGTGAGTGAGTGAGTGAGTGACTGACTGACTGAGTGAGTGACTGAGTGAGTGAGTAAATGTTCCTTTCACTAAATGTACTGATTGTAATTTGACACAATACGCCATGCCCATTCATCCTCAACCCATTTGCTTATTTCAAAAGAAACTTCAGTGTAAAGCTAAATTCGCGTGTGAACCCTCAGAAAGAAACTTATGGGCCTCTTCATATATGAATTAAATTGAATCTCAAATAAAAGTATCAAGGATAAATGAGTTCATGTGAAATATGTCAGTTTTTTAATGTCAGTTTTTTAATGATTTGTCAGATTCATAGTGGGACATTCCTTTCAGTGACAAAATATAATTGTATGCTGTTTTATTCAACATTTAATTAATATTGCTTTTAATTAATTTCTGTAATTGATTTGTCACAATAGAATAGCACAAGGCAGCTTTTGTAACGCAGCAGCAGCAGAGCTGTATGTGTGTATGAATGATATTGATGTGCTGGGCTCATTTTGGGTTAACAGTGCTGGGACGTGTGCCAGAGCCTGAGCGAAAGTACCTTCAGTTGAACTTGGTTATCACAGTGTATGTGTGTGTTTGTTTGCTCATCTAATTTCTTGCAGTGATCGGCCACATTAATCATAGTGTTGTGTATATAATAATGCCCAATAAAGCCGATAAATCTCTCCCTCTCTCTCTCAAGGAGCCTTCCAGAGCCACTAATGACATACGAGCTTTATAAGGAGTTCATCGTCCCTGCAAGTAAGGTCTTTGTCCTTGCTTAGACCATAATCAAGCAATACCCAGCCAATTACTTGACAAATGCCATAAACTTAAAGTATGTGCATGTCTGTGAGAGAAGAGCTTATGATTTGTGAAACTATAAGGTGGGGTTTAATGCTTGCTGAAAGTATCACTGAATTAAATTTCAGTGAAGGATTTTCAAAATATGAAAATGACATCAGCAGAGATGTGTCGTTGTCGTAGGTCTGGGAGGTGCTATAAGTCAATAGTGGCAAGCCTAATAACACTAAATGTACAAAGGCAGAATTTTTACTAATTAGTTTTTTAGCTTTTATGAGGGGCACGTGTACAGAAACATATTTTATTCAGGTTCTCCTGGAGCAACGTGGGGTTGACCATCCCTGAGCTTTAGTCACTACACCTCACCGGCCTATACAGTTACACCCAGTGATGTTATTGTCAACTAAAACTATTAAAAAAACTGTCTTAACTGAAATCAAGCTGAAATTAAATAAATGATAAATATTAGATAAAAACTTAAACTTTGGCAACTACAGTAACTGAAATAAGTTTAATTTGAAGTATTAAATAAAGATTTGTTACACCAGCCAATTACTATTTGCATTTTAATAGTAAAAACTTCAAAACTGAAAGGAATGGAAGTATGGAAATTATGTGGAAACCAAAAGAACTTATTTCTTGAACCAACTTTGAGGTGTATCTTGGGATGCTTCTTTAAACCGTTTTTTAAGGAGTTGTCATATATGTTACCAAGCATCTTGCCAAGTGAGTGGAAACTGGTTTTTCTCTATATTTCTGTATCTGTATACACAATTTTTTATTATTATTTTGTGTGTGTGTGTGTGTGTGCACATTCTCTGTTTTCTTTCTCCAACCTTTTTACTTCTCTCGGCTGTCAGCCACTATTTTCTATCATTATTTCCAACTTTCTCCCTCATTCCGTTCTTACCGTCTGTACACAAAAACACACCTTCCTACAGGCAGCACCCGTAGAAACGTATGTAGGCTACCTCTGTTGCTGAGCAACAGAGCAAACAGACAAACAGCACTCTGCAGAGAAGAGAGACTGAGCAAAGAGAAATCTCCACACGGACTTTCATTCGGTCCATGCTGTTATCTAGATCACAACTTTTTTTTATAGAGAAAACACGTCCTGTCCCTCTCCATTCCAACCAGCAACTGCCCACTTAGAGAAGAGAGTTATGCAGCAGCTTCTGTAAGAGAATAGATCGGGTTAGAGATTTCCAAATAATGTTAACTATCATTACCTTTACCTCAGGCCTCACATTTTTATATAATGTGAATGTAAGCAAATTGAAGATAAGCACATAATCTCCCTAACCTCCAGCAATCAGTGACTGGGCAGACGTGTCTCCTCAAAATACAGAGTGGGATTTGCTGGCAGCTAAGGATGTGCAACTGGAAATTAAATTCAGGTTATCCACCACTAAATTCTTCTTCCATCCTCTCCAGCCCTCGCAAAATGCTTTAGGAGTTGGCACAGTTGCAGACCCATCAGAGATGGAAAGGAAAATGCGTAATGTTGCCATGTTATCTGAATTGGAATTAGAGAGGTGATTAATTGTTGTTATCTGTGTGTGGCGTATTTATTTTCAAAGTGCACCCTGTGAAAGTGGTAAACTGACATTTTGATACCTGTAGTTTGTTTGCATTGTTCTGAAACGGGGACAAAAGTGTTCAGACCCAAATTTGTTATTAAAGTTACATAATAGCAAATTGTCTCCCTATTGCTTAGAATGTTAATGAGGTTTTTTTTTCTTGTCACCTGTCTCTCAAAATAGGCATTTATAGCCATTTGCAGAGGAAGAAGCGCATTTTGGTTTTGAAATATAGTGACATACTGACAGTCTACAGATTTTTTCGTTTTCTCCCCCAAAGCTCAAAGATCAGGTTTACAGTACTGTTCAAACGTTTGAGGTCGGTTTGAGGTTCTTCAAGGCTGCATTTATTTGACCAAAAATACAGTAAAAAAAAACAAACACTAATATTGTGAAATATTACTACAATTTTATGTAATTGTCTTCTATTTTAATACATTTAATAATAATGTATTTTTCAGCACCCATTACTCCAGTTTTTTAGTGTCACATGATCCTTCTTATGCTAATTTGCTGCTCAAGAAACATTTCTTATTGTCAGTGTTGAATACAGCTGTGCTGCTTAATATTTTTGTGGAAACTGTGATGCATTTTTTTCAGTATCCTTTGATTAGAAGGTTCAAAAGAACAGCATTTCTTTGAAGTATACATATTTTGTTACATTCTAAATGTCTTTAATGTCACTTTTGATCAGTGTCGTGTGTCCTTGCTGAATAAAAGTATTATTTTCTTTAAAAAAAAAAAAAAAAACGTACTGACTTTAAACTTTTGAACTGTATTGTATTTATTTTATCGAAGGGCACTCTCTCAAAATGTCTTTGTTTGAGCTAATGTAATTCATACAGTATATGCCTACATGAACCAAACTAAAGGGAAAAACACACTAGATTCCAAGTCAAATGATCCAAATGAACCCATTTGTTCAGAGGATGGTAAAGTTTACTCTGTTTAGATATTTTACAAATTGACCTCAATGGACAATATGAGTAATGAAGTTTGACTAAAAATTCTCCATCTGTGAGGCTGATAACCAAAAGAGTCATTCAGCATGCAGGTTTTAATGTTCACCCCTGTGATCTTTAAGTTACTAATTAATTAATTCAAAATATCGTGTTTTCAAGTTTTGCTGAGATATATTGCAGTGAGACTGAAGACACTTTCTAATGGAAGGTTAACTGCATATAGTTTCACAATCAAATGCAAAAACAATGCAAACCGTTCTTGCTATCTTTCATCAAAACAAATAATGTGCAATAATGTCAATCTTTTTTCAATCTTTCAAGTAATTTAATCATAACTTCTTTTTTTCTATGTGTGTAGTGTTGCTGCCAACAGCAAACAGAACCTGATGACAGTGGCGAACCTTGGGGTAGTGTTTGGCCCCACGCTCATGAGGCCGCAGGAAGAAACGGTGGCAGCCATTATGGACCTCAAGTTCCAGAACATTGTGGTGGAGATTCTCATAGAACAGCATGAAAAGGTGAGACTTCTCACTGGAGAATGAGTGGCAACATCTCAACACCTGGTGAGCTGCCAAAAAGAGTTGTCTAAGGTTGGCAGCTCATAAGGTTTAAAGACACCACTAGTACCTTAGAGAGTATCACATTATAGAGAGCAGATAGTGAGTTTATTTGATTTAGAATTTTTCTATAAGGTCTTGAGAGTGATAGTGAGTTTATTTGATTTTGAATTTTTCTATAAGGTCTTGCTATGCTGAGCTTGGTGTACTTCTCTCTACATCCAGGAGGGGGAGCCATGTGTGTTTTGACTGACCACTGCTCAGTTAGCTTTTCTTTCTGATGGCTCAAATACAGTTGGACCGCCATACTCATTTGGCTAAAATGCAGGTTAAAATGATGATTTAATCAGCTTTAGATGACAGGGTTAATCCTAAAATGGGGTTCATTCTGAGGGACAAAGGGAGAAAGAGTGAGATTATTTCATAATCTCTAAATTATTTAGCCTACATTTGAAACAGGCTGATGAATTGCTTTCAAACTATGCACAGTGTTGTGCCCGATGATCATGTTTCAGTTCAGTAATTAAAAATAAACACTGGGATCTATTAATCACTTTTACTGATTTGATTTTTACAATTTGGTATTCTATTTTGCAAAGTGACCTTGGGCTGTAGGAAAGGTGTTTAGGAAATAAAAACTATAATAATAATATTTATTAGTAGTAGTAGTAGTGTTAAATCAAACACTTAATTAGAGAGACTGCTTAGAAATTTCATTTGAATAAAATGTAGACAGTACAACTGTTAAATTTGATGCAGTATTTATCATACACAGTATTACAAGGCATAAGCAAAGCAAAATGTCAGAATTATGGTCGTTTTATTTTACATTACAGCATAAGAACTTACTAGAGTATGTGTACTTAGTATATGTAATTATGCAAACATTTCTCAATATATTTTGTCTATGAAAAGCACTTCTGAAGCAGCATACACCATTACGTAGACGGGCAGATTGTTTAATATACAGCATTCCTAGACCAAATGATATTGACCTTGATGTTGTTTTGGTGTAAGTTGAAATAAGTGAGCGAAGCGTTGAGATTCAGGAGAAGGAATGGCTCTGCAGAGCAGCAGACTGATTAGCTCCTCTCCAGACTGCTGATACCCCCAGATGCACTCAACAGACAATGTTTTGCATTCAGGTCCATCTGCAGAGAGAGAGAGAGAGAGAGAGAGAAGTCGGAAAAGTTGCGAGACAAAGAAGAAACGAGGGGGGAAAGTGTGTAGACCGAGGGCAACGAGAGAGAGAGGGGTGAGAGGGTAACAAGAGAGAGGCAGGGCTGAATGGAGAAAGATGAGGTAGAAAGAGTGAGAGAGAGGAATGGGCAAAGACTGAGATGGAAAAAGAGAGAGAGAGAGCAGGCTTTGCTGTCGTCTACAGAATTTCACAGCAGTATCAGATTTCTATCCCTTCTTCCAGCTCTCTCATTCCTTTGTTCAACCCTGTCGAGACTTCCACTCTTCTGCTAACCTCCGTCACTCACACTGGCCGTCTGGGGTTCAAATATACCGTAAATACTGTGTGACTATAATGAAGCCGAAGCTATTATGAAAACATGTTTCCTGTGTTGTCACTGAATGGCTGCCACTCGTTCAGATGCACGTCAGTTTGAGCGTTTCACAATGAACTGGGCAACATGCATGGGGGTCTCTTATTTAGGCTTAACTCTCATGAGAGCTCTTTTGATGTCTATTTTAACAACATGCTGTTAATGAAGCTTGCAGACACCTCTTACATAGGGATAGTTCACCAAAAAATTTAGATTTTTTTTTTAGCATTTATTCATTTTCTTGTTTTACTCTCCTTTTTCCATGGAACACTAAAGGAGAAGTTTTGAAGAATTTTCACATTGCTCTCTTTCATGCAGGGGCAGAGCTAGGTGGTGGCCACCCCTTTGGCTACCCCACTGACAACTGCAGTTTTTGTCTCTTTTTTTTCTTGACAAGAAATGTGTTTATTAAGACGCGGAACCGCCGTATCTCTTTACAACCACAACAAACAGGAGACTTTTCAAACACGCATTTCAACTTCGCCTCAGCGCCAGGCGCAAGTCAAACGAGTGTGGAAAAGGTACAGGTGCTAAATGAGCTTCAGAACAACAGTGAACAGTCTGATGAGAAGTTGTTAGGCTATATGTCAGTAAAACGTAGAAAAACAAACGTTCCTGTCCTGTCAGCCGTTTTACTGTGCTCAAGGCACACACTCTTCAACTGTACGTGAATATGTGGCGCACGCTCTATATCACTTCATCATAAATAAAGCGCACAAGAAACTATGAGCATACAACGTCATAGTTCTGTCGTCCGTTAAGTCGTGAAATTACCAAAAAGGTGATTAAAGCTGCAAAACTGTGCATGCATGTATATATGCATTACATTTAATAATGCCTCTAAAATGCATGTACAAAAATATTCGAAAAATTCGGGGGAAAAAATTCGAGATCACAATATAAGGCGCAAGCTGATATGTAATTTCTTTTTTTGTAATTTAATGTACAAGTAAATGTGAGCACAGTGCACTTGTACTAGAAAATATGCTCTAATTTTTCGATAATTAGTAAAGTATGAAAATGAAACCATATTCAAATGCATTAAATAACTAATTTTACATTCTGGCATATATGTGCTGTTGACTTCCGTTCCGCCCCTTTTCACATTCTTGCACATGGGGATTCAAAAGAGAACTTTTTTTCCCCCTTTCCTTTCACTTTGTACAGAGTTCAATTTAGGTATGACAGAACTGTTGCAATTAATTTTATTTTGACAACTAATAGAATGTTAAACATTCACTATTTACTTTTTCAGAGTTCATTGATTATATGAAATTCAGTGAAGGTTGACTAAACGTTGAACTATGTAGTTATCTGCATGTCTCATCCATGAATATGCAATGATGGAGAACAAGCTTTTGGGGGTGTTGAGAACCAGAATCAAGCTGACTGAGCAATAAAGCTATAGTGAGCCCCTTTATTAAAATACCTGGAGGTGAGGAATAATACAAAAATTGTCATATTCACTCAGTATTACTTGATCTAATTCACAACTATCTCAATTACAATTAAGTACAAATTAATTGTATTCAGCTGTGTTTTAGACACTAAAACAGCCCAGTGCTTTATAGTCAAACACAAATAGCCTTCCTGGCCACCCCTATGAAAACATCCTGGCTCTGCCACTGCTTTCATGCAATGCAAGTAAAAGGGGATCACCAAACTGACATCAAAGAACTAGCGGCACCGAAAGCCGTCTGTTATTGCCTTGCAACACCTAGGCCAAAAAGTTGCGCTTTAACACATCGCAAAGACTACAACCACAACCATCAGCAAACTAGCATATATGCTCTAAGCTTGCGTGAGAGGATATAACTCTCCATACCAGCAGGTGGCAGGAGTCTGTATTTGTCATTCAAAAAAGGGAAACTGGAAGAGTTAGGACTGTGGATATACAAATTGTAAATAAAGCAGCAGCTTCATTGTTTGCTTGCTTTCGTCACTTTTTTTCTCATTCGTTTTTTTCTTGTGCACTGGTTCACGAATCTGAACAGCAAATAAGAATGATCTTGGTCGCTGTCAGGCTCCATCAGCGATTCAACATGCTCAGTCGGCTAAAAAGCTGCTGACAGCGGTCCAATTAGTGCCAGTGGTGCATAAAACACCGCAAAAACTAGGCCAAAAGATGCTGGCCTTACAACCGCCGGCTTGTTGCATCACGGCTGTCAAGCTCTAAAAAGTACAAAATGTATAATAAAAAGGTGCATATGAGTTGTGTGCTATATAAGTGTCCTGAAGTAAAATGAATTCTTTTGAATAGCGATGCACCAAAATTTTGTCAACTGAAAATATTCTGCCCAAAATGGCAGAACGTTTTGGTGGGCTGAAATTGATCAAAACAATGACATTTAATTAGAACTTCTCCAATGATGAGTTTTGATCGGGTCAGTATCTTTTTCGTCAGTAAAAGTGACCAACTTTACTGTGACCAAGAATAATGCTGAAGTAACTATATATAAAGTTTGTTCATCTTAAAAAAATCAAGAGGCTTGTTGCCAAAGAATATACGACTGGTCTAATTTATCACCTGAGAACACGACACCCTGAACAGCATAAACAATTGTCCAAAATTAATAAACTTTATTTTCAGTTTTGGTTTTCAGCTAAATGGAAAATTGTATTTATTTATTTAATAAATTTTGGTTTAATTAAGTTTAACATTTTGGTGTTTTGGGAGGAAAAGAAGCTCAGTTTGGTGCTTCATTACTTTTGAGTGAGGAACAGAGTGAAATTAAATCCTTATTCCCTGAAAATCTTGGATTAAAAGTCTTGTTTAACAATTATAATCATCATTTACTATATAGAAAATAGCAGTTTTAACATTCTACTATAAATATCTTATTTTGTGATTCATGTAAGACAGAAGGTCCTACAGGTTTTGAAATGCTTGAGCGTGGATTGACTGTTCCTTTAAGATACAGGTCTTGAGCACATCCAGAATCTTTATTTGTTTTTACCACCACACATTTGCACTCGCATACATAATCATCATTTCTCCGCAGGCATCGCTCTAAACAGACGGTTTACTTTGATTTTCACACACACATACACACACACACACACACACACACACACACACACACA